GTACCAGTGATCAGTTCAGACACCGGAGTTAAGGCAATCAGTGGGTAGAACTTCCTTAAGAAATATTGTGATGCAGAGGTGAGCACCTGACTTACACTGGCCAATTAGGTGGAAGGGAAAAAGGAAGTACCTGGGCTTCAGCTTCTGCTAGTAGCTGTCTTGTGAGTGAGAGGGAAGATACTGTGATCACAAAGACAACACCTCACAGGGCAGAGCCCGGAATTATGGCACTGGAGCCCTGCCTGTCACATCTATGGGCTTATTGTCATGGGAAATAATAAATCTCTTCATAGGTTAAACCCACTTTAGTTTTGTTTTTGTTTTTGTAATTTGCTGCTGAAAGCAGCATATCTAATATGATTTATTAGCATTTCTTTTAGTTGTATAGCAGCCATGGGGTTTAAAGCATTTCCCATGCATTGTTCATTTTTGTTGTTTTAATAGCCAAGTTAATGATTGTAATCACAGTAATAGCTAAGGTAATTACATCTATGCGCTAGGCACGATCCAAAGCACTTTATAAATGTTAATTTGGTTAATCAACACAACTCTATTCAATAGGCACTACTATCATTCCTATTATGATTATTAGGAGACAGAGAGTAGGCACTGAGATTTCAAAAACATATATCAGGTCACCCAACTGGTAAGTAGCAAAGCTGAAATTTGATCTCAAGCAGTCCAGTCCCAGAGTTCGTGTTCTTTATCACAGTATCATACCATTCATGTTTCAAGTGAGGAAACTGAGGCTCAGAGAACCAATGAACTAGTTGGAAGAATCAGGAAAACTAATACTGAGCAAAATCTACCGCTATTTCCACTATGCCACATTTTCCTTCCAGTGAGCTTCCCATCAAGTCCTTTTCAATAATTTGTGGAGCAGTTAATGCAAATGAGAGCTCTCTACCCTTCCAGGGTGTCCTTGTGGAACTGGGGCAAGATGTGGGGAGAGACTCCATCTAGGGGCCACTAAATATAGTGTAGCCTAAAGATTACACACATGATACTCAAATCTTATACACTCTCTAAAAGAATTTTGCAAGTGTGTATATCCCTCAGATATTTTTAAGTTATTGCCTAAAATTTATTCAATATTGTAAAAATATCATTCCAGTTGTATTAAAATATTCACGGTTAAAATTGAAATGTGATTCTATTGCAACTTGATATAATAATCCAGCCAAAAGCTGTGGTATGCACTTTGCTAATAGTTAGAAATTTTCTACCTGACCTCCCTTCTTGAAACCATATTTTCATTTCATATTGCTCACAAAATTTTGTTGCAATGCAATACGTTTTATTCCTAAAAGCATTTGATTGATCTTCACACACAAAAATATAAATTAAGCCTCTTTTAAATTTTTTTATGACTCTAAGATCCTGAGGGCTAAAATATGTTTTGGATTGAGTGATATTTACAAATGTTATTAATACACAATTTATAAGTAATTGCTAACCACAAAAGTGCACAGAATTGGAAATGCATTTAATTAGAAAGATGGAAAATTTTTAACTCTTTTAGTTTATATAAAATTTATTTGTTACTAAAATGAAGCAGGAACCAGTATTGATTATATTCGTTTGGGTTTTTCCCTCATTTTTTATAGTTGTAGATGGTGAGAAACTGTATAGTAATGCCACTCAATTCTTTGAACACCTTCAGGTTATTTGGCAAAAGTATATTATGATCTATGACCAAAAATGATTTTGATGAGCAATCAAATGTTTATTTTCTTCACAGTCTTTATCAGACAAAAGAATTATAACCTTTGTTTGTTTCTTTTAGTCTTTCTGCCCTCCTGCCTCCCTATCTATATATCAAGATACAGATATTATAAAAGCAGGAATCTTGTCTGTATGCTTTGGAATAGTGTCTGGCACATCATAGGTGCTTAAGAAATATTTGTTGAACAAATGCCTGAGGCAACCCAAATTAAAAGGAAAGGCAAGTACAGTAATTCTGTTAGGACAGGGGACAAGGGAAGATTGGATGTGAGGTGATTGTGATCTTCATAATCTCAACTGTTAAAGCTTCCTTCTTCACCATGAGTAGGAGCTTCTCTGAAGTGCTATTGTTCCAGCAGAACAGGGATTCTTCCCCCATCCACACATGTGCAGTGAGGGCAGCTAATTTTCCTGTATCTCTGGCCTTGGGTACCTTCCCTCTATCCTGTCTTCAGTAGATTCTCTTACTAGATTCCCCAGTAGGCTGAATGGCCATCTGTGGTGTCCCTGGGTGATTTTGGTGTGTCTGGTGTTTCCATGAAATTTTGTTCATTCCGCAGCTCTCTGCAACTTAGGCAAACGCTTCTAGAAAGTTCCAATAATACTTAACAATACCACACTTAACATTTCCATGCTATTGAAAGGTCTACAAATTAAATTTTCATATCTAATTTTTATAATTACCATGGGTTTGTGAGGTGAACACCCTTAAAGGTGAGAAAACTGAGGCCTCAATATTACATCATCCTTGGATGGCTAAGTATGACTTTTAATGCCTCAACTAGCAATAGTATAGATTTAAATTTAAGTCCAGCTTGGTTCAGCAACAACTTATTAGGGAGACTACAAAAAAATAATGTAACTGAGTTTTAGTTGACTCAGTAAAAGCAACCATTAAGACCATTTGATGTCAGAAGGAAATTAATATATGTATGGCCTTAACACTCTGCAGTACATTATTTTTTCTGCCATGAAGCAGTATTATTATTATCCCCATTTTAAAGATGAAAAAACTGAGGTATAACATAGCAGAACAGCATAGTCCTCAAGAATCTGGACTTTTGGCCAGGTGTGGTGGCTCATGCCTGTAATCCCAGCACTTTGGGAGGCCAAGGTGGGAGGATTGCTTGAGGTCAGGAGTTCAAATCCAGCCTGGCCAACATAGTGAAACCCTGTCTTTACTAAAAATACAAACAAGAAAAATTAGCTGGGCATGGTGGCATGCATCTGTAATCTCAGTTACTCAGGAGGCTGAGGCAGAAGTATCACTTGAACCCAGGAGGCAGAGGTTGCAGTGAACCAAGATCATGCCATTGCACCCTTGGTGACAGAGAAAGACTCTGTAAAAAAAAAAAAAAAAAAAAAAAAAAAAAAAAAAAAAAAAAAAAAAAATGAGAAGAAAAGAACAGATAAGAGTGTGAGAGTGTGGAGTCCAGCTGTTTGAGCCAGGTCCTGGCTCTGTCACTAACTAGCTAAGTAACTTTGGGCAAGTTATTTAATACCTACCAGGCACAAGGTAAAAGTCAATATAATATATGTCAACCAATGTTGGGCAATTTTTCCAAGGCCACAAGCAAACCATGATACTGCCAAGGTTCAAAGCTAATTGGCCAGTTTGGTTTTGGAGACCATGCTGTGTATCATAACACTGTTATAGAGCCAGAAAGTCAGAAGAAGTCAGAAAGATAAATATGAGAGGGAAAGAAATGCTGGAGGTTGGAGAGGCTGATAAAAAGTACAGGCAAGAGAGAGAAGAGCCACTTGTCGCACATCACGGCATTTTACTGTATGTCAAGAAATGGAATTTCCCTTAGTTGTCCTTTCCAAAGCTTCCAGTAAAGAATTATATTGCTCAACCATCCTTTTTTTTTTTTTTTCCATAATGACATTTCTTTAGAAAGCAGTACTGTTTCTAAAATAGGACACAAGGCAGCCCACCCTCATTTGGGTTAAAAGTTCCAAAAGAATTTCAGGAGTTCACTATGGATAGAGCCTCCAATGTAGGGTATTGGAAAGAAGGGGCAGAAATTAATTCCTGGAACAAGCACCACTGTGTGTTTCCTAGGTGGTCATACGGTCTACATGCTGTGGATCCTCATTCTGTCCTAGACACTGACCAACCAACTGGTCAAGGTATCAGCTCACTAAGGGTGGCCAGACAGAAGCAAGCTCCCTTCTCTGTTTCTGTCTATTCTCACCTCAGCACCCATACGAATTAGGACTCCTTTTCTCTCCAGGAAACTTTATCCAAGAAGCCCCACTTCCCTTTCCAAGGTAGATTGGTTCCTGGAAATATTCTTGGCCTGGAAAAGATAAATGGCTTCCCATTTTCAGCTGCTGTTAGGTATTATTTGTGGCCACCTGCTAGATGCTAATAAACAGACTCTGCATGAAACATTAGCCTTTTTGTCTTCCAAAAACTAGCTCTCCTCTTAGCCTGTAGTACCTACAATAACAAACCTAATACCAGCAACCCTATCTATCATGCAGTACGCAATCATGACATTTGCTTGTTGAAATGAATCCTGTGTTTTTGAGAAGGTCACCTCACCTGACTTCAGTTGGGGAATTGCTGTGCTGCAGAATGTGTGTGGTCTCTTTTCAGCTTGGAGATTCATAAATCTGGTATGTACCATGAGATCCCTTATGGTTCCTCAATAAAATTCTATTGTTGTTTATTGTTTTCAATAGGAATAATGAGGGCTAACATTTCCTGGACATTAAATATATGCCATTGTATTAAGTACTTACTGTATACAGAATATATAATATTTACCAAAAAGAATGTGGAGTACATATTATTCTCATTATCCCCAATTCATGAACAAGGAGACCAAAGTTTAGGTAGGTTAAATAAATTTCCCAAGGTTACTCGGCTGGGCGTAGATGAGGCAAGATGTAAACCCAGCCCAGACTACTCACTCCAGACTACTCACTCTACTATGTGGAATTACTCTCTCCCAGTTACACGTGAATAGGAGAGTTCAGTTTACCTCTGTCTATGTATTTGGGATTAGAGTTTTTGTTGTACAGCATATTCACTGGCCTGAATTTCCAATCATATTCTTAGGAAAGATGGGGATCTGCCTGTCATGTTCCTGCATGATAGTGTCAATGATGGCATTTATATTCAGTGCAGATAAAAAACTTGCCTGGAATCTTCTTTTTGGAAGGTTGAAGAGTGTAACCAATAAGTTGTGAGGTGGAATTAAGATAAACAAGTTCATTTTACTTACAAGGTGGGAGTGGTCCATACTAGATTCACGATTGCTCACCAGGTAACAGCAGTTGTCGAGATCTTGTATTTTTTTGTGGAAATCAGGAAACTGTAAGTAGGAGAAATGAAGATACCTGAGGTAAGAGAGAAAAAAGAGATATTAGAATTAATAATTTATAGGGTAAGGGCTTATAGATGAGAATCTTAGGGGAAAAGAACAATGCAGAAGTTTGTTTGAGCAACACACACTATCATCATCACCACCACCACCACCATCATCTTCATCCTCATCCTCATCTTCATCGTTGTCGCCATCAGCATCATATGCACCTCTGTCCTAGTTTGGATCTTTCAGAAGCAGGCTCTGAGAAAAGGCTCCTTGTGAAAATAGTATAATTGGGAACTAAAAATAAAAAAATGGGAAATAGAGACAGGTAAGGCAATAATTACATGGAGTGTTATCAGGCAGGCAGCTGTTATTGTGGGCAGCTGAGCTTACTGCCTGTGATAAAACTTTGAAAGCCAGTGAGGGAGAAGGCCTGCTCATTGATAGAGAGATGATGAGAGGTTATTAATTCCTAGGCACTTTTGGTCTACTATAAGGGAAAAGTGCCTTAGAAACTGAATAAAACTTTCAAAAGATAAACTTAGGAGGTGCAGCTGGCAGCCAGTCATCCTGCACTGAAGAAGAAAGGGCAGAAGGGTGGGGAGGGTCACTGAGAGCATCTGAAGCAATTTTGCTTTTAGGGGGTAAGAGACAAATGGTAGCTATCATGTATTGAATGATTAGAATTCATTTAATTTTCATTGTGTAGAAAATGTGTATTATTGTTGACATTCCAGAATTAACAAGAAGTACAGAGAGGTAACATATTTGTTTATGTGGGAATAGCTGGTAAGTGTCACAGCTGGGTGTTGAATCCAGAGGGACTGACTCAAACCTTCCATGTTATTCCATCTAGCTATGCGGAATGTAGCCTCATGTTCCTTAACCTATTAATTTCCAGCTCCATCCCTCTTGTTCATGATGGATATTTTTATCCAAAAAGGATCTAATTTTCTTCTAACAGATTTCCACTCTCCTTGATTTGCATTTTTCCACGTAGGATTAGTGATAATAACTACTATGGTTAGCACACTCCTAAGCTCCTTACAGGCTTGTCTTACTTGATACTCCCACCAAACTTGTAGGGTGAATACTGTTATATTCTCACATTACCAATGAGGAATCCATAGCACAAGGTGATGAATATCTTGCTTAAGGTCATATATTCAGTGAATGGCAAAACCATGGTTCAGCCCTCGCTTAACCATGATGTTCTGCTGTCTCCTTAGTTAGAAAGGTTTGAAATAACAAAGTTGTGCGTAGACTGTGGCGCATGGCAATTCCAGGAACTACCTTTAAAATGGAACAAGTTTGTAATCATAGCCAATCCAGGAAATGGCAAAGCTTTATCTCCATTCTCAGCTTTTATTCAGAGCATTTGCATAGAGAAATACAATGATTTACCTCTTTCGTTGGGGTGAGCATGCCCACATCTGAGCTCTTGTTTTAAGGCATCATTAACATGGTAACAATGGACTTATAAATGTTACATTTTGTATAAATTTTCACCTGAGACAAAGCACCCTTGGCCTTGGCAGCCAGTCTGAATTCTAGATGATGAATCTTTACTTCAAAGAATTGAAAGGGAGAGATTCAGTAATTGAAATCTTCATGTACTTGCATTTATTTATTTATTTATTTATTTGAGACAGAGTCTTGCTCTGTCACCCAGGCTGGAGTGCAGTGGTGTCATCTCAGCTCACTGCAACCTCTGCCTCTGGGGTTCAAGTGATTCTCCTGCCTCAGCCTCCTGAGTAGTGGATTACAGGTGCACACCACCACACCCAGCTAATTTTTGTAATTTTAGTAGAGACCAGGTTTCACTATGTTTGTCAGGCTGATCTGGAACTCCTGACCTCGTGATCTGCCCGCCTCAGCCTCAGTCTTGGGATTACAGGTGTGAGCCATACCACACCCAGCCCATATACTTGCTTTTTTCCCTCAAATTTCAGTAGTATATTTTTATTACATAAAATATTGAGATAAAAATAAAAACAGCAACAGTAACAAGTTCAAATTACCTTTAATCACATCATCTCTCTTCTTTTTAAAACAGCAGGTGGGGTAAAGAGCAAGAGCAGGTCTTTGACTATCATTTCAGACCCAGTAGAAACCACTGGCAACATTTCCACTTCCCAGTCTCTTTTTTTCCTCTGTGATCATACAAATATACATATGTGCCACGTACATACATATACACCATTAATAGCTTTTTTCAAAAAATGGAAATGTGGTCATGCTTTTTTTTTGCTTAAAAATACCCCATAGACTTCCCTAGGTCAGTATTTATAGGTTGACTTCATTTTATTTTGAGCTCTTGAATAATGTTCTGTAACATAGGTAATAATTTATCTGAGCAGTCTCTTGCTAATGGACATTTGCCTTGTATTGCAACATTTGCTGCAAAGATCATGTTGGTGTATTCTTTTATACTCCCCTCCCCAAATAGTGTCTTTTTAGAGCATGTAGAACTTGCCTGAAGATATCAGGTGGTGATTTTTTTCTCTCTTCCATTAAGTAGGTAAAGCCTAACTGAGTATTTTGTTTTCAGATTTCCAGAAACGCTTTTACAAACATTTCCTGCTTCTGATTCTAGTTTAGATGCCCATAACCAATGGCATTAATTTATGTTTTAAATTCTTAAAGGCAACAGCATGCCTGTGTTCCCATTCTAATGCCCAACAAAGAAGAAAAGTTAATGACCATCTTCCATCTTTTTCTATCTTTTCCCCTCTGCCTAGGTCCAGCCTCCCACTCTCTCTAGGGCCAGCCCTGAGTCCTTTGGGGGATTCGCAGAGACCAAACACTTGGAAGCCATTGTTCAAATGAATTAAAATATGCTTCCAAGAATTCCCCACCCATCCCCCTACACTCCTCCCCATACTTACACAAAGGTCCAACTCTTCCAACAAAGGTTGCATCTGCAAAAAGTTTCTTCAGTCTTGAAGAAACAGACTTTCTCACTGAGCTCTCCCCTGCACTTAAAATGAAAGCCAGTAGAAAAGATCAACCTGAAGCATCTCACACTCTCTCTCCACCTTCCAGCGGGAGAGAAATCCCAGGTCCCAACTTATCTGGGCCCTGGAGACCCGACCTTCTTCTCAGCTGTCTGCATGGGACCTGAAGATTGGCAGGTTTGGGAAGAAGGGAGGTGGGAAGTGTGAAGACCTCCCAGTGGCTGGGGAAAGGGGAACACCAAGAAGGGGTGAATAAGGGAATCCCACATCTGGCCAACCTCTCCCCACGAAGAACCAAGTTAGAAAGGACTTGAAGATGGGGTGGGGAGGGGGAAGTGGATGAGGACTGCACTTGTTATGCTGAGAAACCTCAGCTCCACTGTACAGCGAGGCCTATGACATGTCTCTCGTCCCTTTCTCTCTCATTTGTGAGTAAAAGGAGTTCCCAAGAAAAGTGGTACCTGAAGGACGTGGGGTACCTTCAAAGCAGACCTCCACCCTGCAGTCTCCGCGGCCTCCGCGGCCGCCTCCTCCCCTCTGTCTGAGCACTGCCTCTTGGCGGCAACTGAGCTCCCAGAGAGGGGCCAACCTCGATCTCCATCTGGCACCCCTTTCTCATCTCTCGGGCTCTGATTCCTTTTGGGGTGCTTAGCTCAAGGCTGGACTTTAGCAGCCTAGAAGACACCCACCAAGTGTGGGTGGGGAGGGCGCAGAGCAAGAGAGGGCCGATCAGATCTGCAGCCACACTCCATGTCCTTCGAGTGGAGCTGCAGACGCCACAGCGCAGGGAGGGTACAGGGGCCACAGGGCGGGAGCTGTCCGTCGTTCTGACCAGCGTCGACGCGTGGGTATTTAAAGGCTGGGGCAGACAGCCTACCTTCTGCTAACCCCAAGGGAGGAGTCAGGGGCTGCGGAACCTGCATTGGTTTTAATTAACCCACTCGTAGACAAAGTCTGAGAGCCGCGTTTCTGCGCCCTTTGCAGCGCAAATAACTGCTGGGGCGAATCTAAAGGTTTCTTTTCGGGTTCTTTGTTATTGCCATTTCTCTTTGAGGACTTAGAAAACTTTATTTGGATATCTCTCGTTTTCTAGTTTCCCCTATCTTCCAGAATGTATCCACCCCCGCCCGTTCTCTCCCCTGCCCCACAAACTAATCAAGGCAGAAAAGCAGAAAGTGAGGGCTGCAGTAGCCAAATGGTCATTCCCTGCTTTACTCTTGATCTCCAAGCAGTCATGCGGGCCCTGGGGACTCTGAGGCAAACTGATGATGGGACTGGTTTTAAACCCACCATCCCGGCCTGTATGTTGACAGGACACAACCTTAAGTCCATCAAATGGACATATAAACTAAATGTTTGGAACGATGAGGATTTGAATCTCTTGAAATGAATGGAGCACGTTTCTGGTTCCATCTAAGCTGATTCTAAGCCAGGACTGATGCGTGGAAGGCGTTCCCTTTGGGGTTGGAGCTCTCCTGGGGAGGGAAAAGGAGGTCGAGGAATCCAGCGGTGCTTTGGAAAAAAGACTAATCTCCTAAATCAATGCCAAGTGGTGGAGCAATAGAGGCTCTGCTGCATAACCCTTACAGTAATGATTTTAATGTGTCTAGTCTTTCTTTCACTGAGCCCGAAGTAAATGCTCAAATAAATACTTGTGGAATTAAGCCCCAACAGTGCAATAAATTGAGCTTTAAAACCTTATATCTTAATGGATTATCTTTCCCCCTCGTCAAGCCATATACCTGGAGGCAGATTTTGGCAACTTTTATTCTACAATCCTTTAATGAGTGGGGATGGAGCAATATTCCTGGAGCAACAGGGTGCTTTCTTATCACTTTTTCATATTTGAGAGACACTGGTTTGTCTTACTCTATTTTGCAAGAACTGACTCTTAAATTGGCTTTTTCTATAGGCTGCAAAGTGCCCAAAGGGTGAAATGGCCACAGTGCCAGCGACTTTTATTTTAAAAATTGTTCTCCTGATCCTGGAAACACAACAGACCGCCTAGATCTCAATCTCCAAAATTACCTTACAATTGGGCAGCAAAGTGAAGCCATGCTTTCTTTTGCTGGTTCCTTAGTAAAAACAACCTGTCTGTAAGGTGATCTGTTTTTTTTAAATCAATGTGGTTTATGTTAAAGTGTTAACTATTTCATAAAACCTGCACTGCACAATACCTCCAGCTGAAAGAAGTGTATTAGTCTATTCTCATGGTGCTATAAGGAACTGTCTGAGACTGAATAATTTATAAAGAAAAGAGATTTAATTGACTCACAGTTCCACATGTCTGGGGAGGCCTCAGAAAATTTACAATCATGGCAGAAGGGGGAAAAAAGCATGTTTTTCTTCATTTGGTGGCAGGAGAGAGAAGTGCAGAGCACAGTGAAGAAATGCCCCTTATAAAACTATCAGAGCTCCTGAGAACTCACTCCCTATCATGAGAATAGCATGTGGAAACTGGCCCCTTGATCTAATCACCTTCCATGGGGATTACAATTCGAGATGTGATTTGGTTGGGGACACAGAAACAGATCATTTCAAGAAATGTCTTTAACAGTAGAGCAAATGCTGACTTTTTGGAGGTTATGATTTACAAGTCTGGTAATACTGCAGCTCCATGAGAAAAAGGAGATTGCAAAATGAAGAACAATGTCAGACATGAGGGTAAAAGAATGAAGGTCTATTGCCTTAAGCTTCAAATTTGAAATTTCAATTTCAATCACTAAAGTTGCCATTTTCAAGATACAGAAGTTTCAGTTTTGTAAATTTTTAGTTTCAAGTTGATGCAAATTTTATTATTTAATTGTTCATAACACCCACACATGTGTGTACGTGTGTGTGTGTGTGTATGTGTGCAGTGTGTGTTGAAAGGTTTAAATTCTACTTTAGTTAAAATTCTTTTCTTAAATGGAAGCTTCCCTACAGTTGTCATCTCTTTGGGAAGAGTGGTCTGTTGGAATTATGTTGCTGGATGATCAGAGTAATGATAACCAACTCTTATTTGAACTTTAAATAAGAATAATAAATATTTAAAATTGTTAGATGATACTGGAAGTGATTGAGGGCTTCCTTATACACAATATGTTATTGGATCTTTGTGACAGCCTTATAAGATAGACATGCATCTTCTCCATCTTACAGATAACAGATTGAGACTTAGGAAGATTAAGAGTCTATCTAGATAAGTTCAGCTTGATGGAAAAACTACCATTTGAATTGGAATCACCAGAGCATCCTCCTGAAAGATGCTGCATCTTTCCATCTCTATCCCAAATCATAACATGTAGGAGTGTACCGCTCTTTTAAAAAAAAGGTACCAGAGTTTTGTCTGTGTAAAATGCAAGACATTGGACATTGTCATTAAAAAGATAAATGACACATGTTTTCATTCTGTCTTTCCTTCATTCAGCCAAAATTTATTCAAAGCTTGCTGTAAGCAAAATGATTGTCATAATCTTTTTTTCTGGTCTTTGTACTAACTCATTCTCTTCCCCTGCCTGACTTTTGCTCCGTAAAAGATAGGCTTTTGTCTATTGTGTCTATGGTGGCTCATGCCTGTAATCTCACACTTTGGGAGGCTGAGGCAGGTGGGTCACTTGAGGTCAGGAGTTAGAGACCAGCTTGACCAACATGGTGAAACCCCCTCTCTACTAAATACAAAAAATTAGCCTGGCATGGTGGTGTGCATCTATAATCCCAGCTATGTGGGTGGCTGAAGCAGGAGAATAGCTTTAACCCTGGAGGGAGAAGTTGCAGTGAGTCAGGATGGTGCCACTGCACTCAGCCTGGGCAACAAGAATGAGACTCTGTCTCCAAAATAAATAAATAAGAAAACAAAACCAAAAATAGGCTTTCAGGCTTACTACCCCATCCCTGCCCTCAGTACTGGCACCAAGTGTGGGTGCTGTCCTTGGTGCTGAGAATCTCCACTTTGGAAGGCACAAATAGCCTGCTCTTCTCTCTCTTTGTCCCAGGCTGAGGTGCCTTGTCTTAGAAGCCACTTCACAGTCACAAAACTTCTATTGTATAACTCCACGCTGCTCTCCATATGGGAAAATTAACAGTTATTTTTCACAGGAGGTACTTTAAAGAGAACCTCCTGCCTCCTTGGCTTTCCCAAAAACATTCTAGGAATAGGAAGTTTGGGAAAGTTTCTGCTTCCTCCTTTTCCACTCTCAAACTTGATTTATTTTGTTAGGCCAAGGAAACAAAGCTCATCCAGCTTCACAGATTTTGGGCAGGTGGCCAGAAGCAGTATTTGGCCACTGCAGGAGCTAGGAAGTCTTTCTAGACCAATAGTTGCCCTTTGCAACCAAAGTAGTTGTTCAAAGCTAATTTTTTGCTTTGGATGATTTTGATGTCTGGGGGCTCTCTAATCAACAGCTTTAAAATGTGTTCTACTCCAATATATGACAGGGTGGGTCTTAGGGAAAGAGCAAACTAATAGAATGAATGGCTTCTCAAAGAAATCCATGCTTTTGAAGAGATACATGAGGGAGAAGCTCAAAGACAGAAATGAACATACATCTTAGTGCTTCCTTTCTAAATCCAAATTCAATCCTCCCCACGGTCCTCACAAGAAAAGGTAAAAATTATCCCTTTGACACAACTCGCTCACTTACCATACATTTGCAAGTTAAGATTGTGGGATAAGGCAGGTCTAGCTAACATTTTTTTGAGAACACTTTGAAATAAAGAGACCTCAAAGAGGACCAAATTTATTTCTTTTCAAACAGGTATTCCTTAATTTATGTCTACTTCTAGGAATAGTAAATTATAGGCATCCAGTATAGACAAATTTTAATAACATCAGTGAAAGATGCTGATCCACTTACTTCCTCTGGGCAACATGTACAACCTAAGAGTGACCTAAGGAAAAATAAGTACTACAGTTCAAGCTTAATTGCTATTTATCATCTTTTATTCATTTAGGAAAAAAGTTAACAGACTGTTATAATTTCTTTAGTAATGTTTTCTTTTCTTGGTGACTTAAGAATCCCATCTTTCAGAGATGCACATCTTTTTTAAAAAGCTGTAGAATTTACAAACACAAATTGTATATATTTATGGTGTAAAATGTGGTGTATATATATATGTGCATATACATGTATACATAATATAGATATACACACATATATATATGCACACACAAATTGTAAAACAGTTAAATCAAGGTAATTAGTATATCCATCACCTGATATATTTATAATTTTGGGGGGTGAGAACATTAAAATCTATCTTAGCAACTTTCAAGTTTCAAGCAATTTTACTTTTGAAATTGCACAGGAAATCTATAAAAGGCAGTGACCCCGTGTGTGTGTGTGTGTGTGT